AGGACTAGGTGAAAAAAAATCCGCACATTTTCTACGTGTGCTTGTTGGGAGGTGAATGAGATTGGTATTTGAAGAAAAATAGCTTCATAAAATCCTCTAATACCTATTGATTCTTTTATATCCTTTTGATAGACCAAGGATTTGTGAAGTTGGAAGGATTTGTGTGGTGAGACAAACCCTAAAGCATTTGCTGTGAACATCTACATCTTCATCTAGTGATTTACTTTGCCATTTCAGAGCTTCTGAATCTCAGAGCCTCATTGTAATTTCCTCATTTACTACCCTGTGACATGTAAAGCAAAGATGTTATTCACGCTTACTCAGGGGAGATTTTAAGGAGATGTGGTACCATAACTAATGCATCCAGAGTCCCTGAAGCTCAGTAAGACCTCAGATATATATTGACATTATTCATTTTGATTCCCCAGCCCTAAAAGAAGATGTGACACACACGAAACATTCAATAAATGCTCGTGAATGACTTGTAAATAACCAAATGTATTTCAAGGCTGAATATATGTGCTGCCAAAGCAAGCGCTTCAAGACAGAATAAAACAAGTGCTAAGTGGGGCCTAAGTTCTGTACCATGGCAACCAAGGAGCATGGCTCTGACTCGTGCATCCCGAGGGGATGGTTTGGATCTGAACAGAAGGGGACTGGAACATGTGTTTCTGGAAGAAGCCAGCAGTGCTAGAGGCAGGCTTGAGGATGGGCTTTTGTTCGTAGATGGGGCTGAGTTACTACTTGGGACCAAATCATATTTGATGTGGGGTCTGCCTTTCTCTGATAGGGCTCTTCCCATTGTAAAGGGTAGGAAATGACCTCTAAGCAGCAAAGGGAACACACTGCCTCCTGAAAGTGCAACACTGGGGCATAGATCCCACCTTTAGACCAGGCCGAATTCAGGCTTCACATGATGGCACCAGCATTCATTTTCCAGCTCTGCTCTCTCTCAGTCCTGATTTCATTCGCAGCCAGGCAGGCCTCTTGTGGAGGAACCAGTCACCCCTGAGGCTACCTGCTTCCCACTAATCCAGAGGGAAGTCCAGCGGTGTCCTCCTCCTGACCTTCCCAGCAACAGTCCCGAAGTCCATTCTGATTGCCGGGCACATGTCCCCCAGCCCTGCCTGCAAGAGTGCTGCGGATAGGGAGGTCTAATCAGCAGCTCCACTCCAAGAGAAGGCACCAGAAGCACCTGGGCCAAAAGTGGGAAGGGCTGGTTCTGTGGTGGAGAGGAGCTACCAGGCAGAAAACTCAACAGAAAGACCATTCAATGCTTAATATGAGAGATGCGGCTCTGGCGCTAAACTGTAGAGCTTTCAACCCTAACTTGGCACAAAGTATATCGTCAGGTCCTTGTCTACAGCGCAGACATAGTCATAGTCCCTCCCCGACAGATGTCGGGAAATTCAATGGGCATTTGCAAAGCTCTTTGAATTGTGCCTGAAATGCCCTGGCCAAACACAGAGTTAATGGTAGCTCTTGTTATGTAAGCACCTGACTTTGTTGGCCTGTGGCTTTGTGTTCATTCATAGTTATTCCAGGTGCTAGCACCCAAAACGCCTCTGTCATAGTGATCTAGTGAATCTTGCATCGGTGTGCCTAAAACCAGTCACACCAGAGCTGGGACACATGTCCATGTTGTTTCCCGCTATAAAGACCAGCATACATGAGGAAGGTCCTTTTAATTCACCGTTCAGGGTCTGTCAGGGAAACTCTAGCCATCCCTCTGCTTGGCAGCACTGGGGAAAAGCAGGAGGAAATCCTAGCCTTTGGGCACTTCCCACAGGGAGTTTGCAATCTAATCTAAAAGGCCAGAACACTCTGTCAATACAGTCTGAACCAGGATCCATTCCCAGGGGCCACTGCCAGCTTTGCGGGCCCAGCATGTCCACAGAACGACATCCTTCCTCCATGGCCCTTCTCACAGTGTGAATGACCGTGTGGAAAAAAGAGACAAGGATGACAGGACCGGACCAAATCCCGGCGTCTCACTGACCTGCTTTTTTTCCCTCCTGGATGACACTTGAAAGGAGAAAGTGCGACTTTCCCCACATAGCACCACTAGAGTAACCTGAGAACACCCATTTAGTGAGTCCGTCCCTGTGAAAAGGACCTTTTGGTGACACTGGGCTGAGTGTATCCCCACTCTATTTATAGGCGCTGTTTGTTTAATTTGAGTCCGGTCTCTAAGAATAAGTAATGAACTCATCCTGGGTATGAGCCAGCGCCTACAACTCTGAGACAACCCATAAATCCCTGTCCCTTTTCTTCTGGCTTAGGGACTCTAGCTCATAGGCAAGCCCCTCTGCTTGCTGGCCTGAGGCAGGCTTGGGACTCGGTATGTTCGTACATTTGGTTTTATGTTAGTTTTTCAGTATGATTCGGAGTGCTTAGTTTTGGACTGGCAATTAAAGAACAGATCTGTAACCTCTTGGCAATCCCGAGCATTGACAAAGACCAACTACCTTGGTTCCTTGGCAGGTGGAACTTCAGATAGATCCACGAGGACAAAGATATCCCCAAGGAGCATGTGGCAATGGAGAAGAAAACTCCCTTTCTTTGCAGTGTCCCTCTGACCTGTTGGCAGGACTCGGGACCAGGGTGGGTCATAAAGCACAATGCCATTCCTGGGTGTTTTGGTTTTTGTTTTGTGTGATAGGGTATGTGATAAGCACCAGGAGCCATGACTCACTTAAACTTTTAAATGTTTAACCCAGAACGCGTCTCACTGAGGTCCAAAGAAGCACTGTCCACAGTGACCTGGCTCAGCCTGTGCCTGAAGCATCCCCAGGTGCTGGCCTGCTGGCTGAGTGACCCCAAGAAGCAGACTTGTTGCACCTAAAGGGAACAATCCACATGGAACCTCCAGACCTGTATGGATTTATTTGTGCATTGTGGCTTCCCCTCAGTTTCACTTTCCATGAATTTAGCCTCAAGAAGGTAACCAGCCTTCTCTGGGAAGGAAAAAGAACAGCATTTGTTCATTTATTTATTCTCCATCGTGCTGACCCTCTTCTCTGTGCCAGATGCTACTCTAGGACTGGGCAGTGATGGCGAGACAAGTTCTGATTACAGTGGAAAGCTTCTGCCTCTCTTCTGCCTTCCAGCTGAACCAGGCCCGCTGATCCTGACCTCCATTCAAAACCATCCTTCCATTCAAAAAGTATTTGTTAGGCGCAGGCTGGGTGATTCAGTACAACAGTGAGCTCAAGAGATCCATTCCTGCCCTTAAGAAGTCTGGAGTCCAGTGGGGAAGATAACAGATGTTACCTATAATCATCTAAATGAAGAGATTATTACAAGTCATGGGGCATTCGGTACAGCAAAGGCCCAGGTGCCACGGGTGAGCCTAAGAGAGGGACGGGCCTGGTTGGATGAGCTGAGAATGAGCTACGACACACACCCAAGATGCCCCCAAGGACCTGTTCTCTCCTGAGTCCGGGAACAACTGCTGGCTCTCAGGAGGTGGTGATCATCGGCTGGGCTGGGCTACTCTCGCTCTCACCCAACTGTCCTGAGAAATGTCCCAGGCTATTAAGTCTCACAGAGAGTTTGTGTGCACAGAGAAGATGGAGCTTTGGCCTGGGTGATTAGCATATGAAAGCTTTGGCCTTGAGTTCTGGTGGACAGGGAGAAGCGTTCTTTTTCTTTCAGGGAATTCTCCCCACTGCCTCACCAGGTAAAGGAGTAAACAATGTCATCATCACGTTTTCAGACCTGTATTTGACAAACGTCGCACTCTGAAATCTGGAGGCAAAGCCAGCCCTATGTTCCCCTCTGCACTTGTATGCCTTTAGCGGCTCATATGCAAGGGCTTCCTGAAGAGAATCCTCAAAGGAGCGCTCAGCACCTCCCCGGCATCTTTCTGTACTTGTTTGGGTGCGACTTTAAGCAAATCCCTTCCATGAGAGCTTTTCTGTTTTCGTTTGAAACGTTTACTCCGTTTTGTCTGCTTTATGACCAGCATTTTGGCAGCCACGGAATAAAAGCCAAGAAAGGGATAAGAAACTGCCCCACAATTGATAAGGGTAGGTGAACAAGTACGTGAGTATCTACAATGTTCTAGATCAGAACCGAAAAGAAGCTTTCAGGAGGCAAAAATGCGGTGGTTGCCCAAATTCATGTATTTACTTGGGAGACAGTCTGTAGACTAGATAAAATTTTGAGAGGAAGAAATCCAAGATTCTTAGAACCTCAGAAAAGCTTATCTGGAGAAATGAATGTTGGTCTATTTCTGGGTAGGAAAGAACAGTCCCTCCTAATTTCAGAGTCTTTCCTGGGTAGGAGAAACTTCAGCACGAATAAACCACAAACCAGCTTTGTGCTTCGGCTCAGCATTCATTCCCACCCTCTGGGTGCAGGGCTCTGAGTCCTCCTTCCGGAAACCCTTGCTCCCCTGGTTTAGATCAAGTCCCTCAAAAGCACTTTCCTCCTCCTGGCCCTGTGGCTCAGAGATAGGGCACAGAATTCATGCAGAGGCCCTAGAATTCAAGAAATCACGGCCTAGGGTCGATTAGCAAAAAACATCATTCACCCTTTCCCTGGAGCCTTCACTATGAGGATGAGAGTTTAGAACCACAGCAGCTGTTTTGTGACCTTGGCGGAGTCCAGAGCTGTTATGCAGTGTAAGAAAGCACAGCGCGGCTCCTCAGAGTGAAGCCAGCACCCTAGAAGACTGAGCATAAGATGGAGAGACCCAGGATCAAACTTCACCTGAAGCCTGACCTCTTTCTGGATATTTCAGTGATCCCAGCATATTAAATATTCTTTGTTACATGAGGCAATTTCCATTGTATTCTCATGTTTTGTAACATATAGAGTCCATGTGAAACAAACCTTTTGCCAGAAGATAAAGTGTGTCTCTGCTACAGCCCCCACCCCCAGTTCTAGGAGGAAGTGAGATGTTCCAGAACCCAAACAAAAGGTCCCACCTGCCCCTTTTCCCTTTCAGTGTTTCCATGCCTCCCGTCACCATAGTACTGCGACTCTCACAGAAAGGAGGAGGAAGCAGAGGAGGTGAGGGGGCTGGTTTCCAGGCTGTGTTGCCACCCTGGGGGGAGCTAGGAGGCAGTGGCTCCAAGCCTGACATTTCAGGGTAGAGATAACAGGGTAAAAATAAACTCCCCAGCGTCTAGTTCTCTGGCTTCACAGTTCTTATCTCTCTGCTTTGGGGACAGAAAGGTTCCTTTCAGGTCACCGCTCAGCCCTGGGGGCGGAGGAGGATGGCTTGTTGGTTTACATCCCTTCACACCTGCCCATTCTGGGCTGAGCTTCCGGTCTCTACACTCCAGATAGGAAAAAAAAAAAAAAGTAGGGCTTGGAAAGGTGCAACGATTCATCCCAAGTCACACAACTAATTAGCACTAGTGTGGTCTGATCTCAAGCCAGGCCGTTTTCTGCCTCTTGTCTTTGAGTAGCGGTAAATAGAATTGGTCTTCTGCAGGGCGCACCGGCAACTGCACAGCCCAGTGCCACACTGCTGCAGAGCAGCCGCGTCCCTGGCCTGTGGTATCACTTCACATCCCCTGACAGCCTCAGGCATCCCAGTCACTGTGTTTGCTGGGGTCCGGTCTACTTGTTAGCACAGAAGGGTCCTGGGACAACACAGAACAAGGACCCAGCCTCGACTCCACCACTAAGTTCCACAGAGGGTCCCTGAAACTTCGCTTTCTCATCTGTCAAACACTAATGCCCGTATACCCACCACCAGGGCTGTCTGAAGAATTAAATATGCCATCACCTGCCAGGCACATGATCATCTAGGATTCGGGGCTCTCTGTTAACCATGGTAGCTTTTCCTACGCTGATGTTTCTGTGTAGTGACCATTGCCCCTCACCCGTGTCAGCAGAACACGGTCTCAAGTTCTTTCTCTCTCAGTGGCCAAGGATTTGCAGCGGGCCATTTCATCAGTTAAGACACTTGCCATTGTAAGTGACCGAAACACTGATCCTAACCGGATTGCATGAAAGAGCAATTTCTTGGCTCAGTGGGTAGCTCGAAAGGCGGCCAAGGGTAGAGCCTAGCTTCAGGCACAGCTGGATCCAGGGCTAGAAATGATACCATCAGGATTGGGTTTCTCAGACCCTTTCCCTGTTGTTGGCTCCGTCCTAGTGGTGGTGGTAATAGCTGTAGGAGCTTCAGTGTCTTTTCCTCTTGGGTTCAAAGCCAGTGCAAGGAAAGCCAGCCACAGAATTCCCAGCAGAAGTCCCTATGCATCTCACTGTCCATCCCTGAGCCTTTCTCTTCTGGGAGATGGAACAGAGTGCCCAGAGGGAGGAAGGCCCAGATAGTGAAAAGGCCCTTGAGCAGGGTCAGGGCCCTCCACTCAGATCAGATCAGATCCGGGAAGAGTAAACTCAGGTGTGGCTGCCCCCCACCCTGCCCGCAAAGGTATGTTGTGCAGCTGCCTGCACTCAGTCTGTGTCCCACTCAAACTGGATACATAAAATAATCAACTTCTACAATCCCAGGGAGCAGAACAGGCAGCAAAAACAGACCGACTGTCTGCCGCAAAAATTAAAAGTTCACCTGCGGCTCCCCCACTAACGGCTGTTGAATGGGATCCTCTTCTGGGCTTGACCTTCGACCTGCTAGGTGAAAAGCCAGCTTCCTGAGGTGAGGAGCTGACGCTTTATCCCAAGCCTTTGTTAATTTTTTATTGGGTCTCTTAAGAATGAACCAAGTGAAATGTTGTTTTTCTTGTTGTTTTGTGGGGGGTGGGGTGCGCAAATGGCACACCCAGCAAATAGCAATTTAACTATTAGAGTATAGCTGGTTGCTTTTGCCTGTCTACACCTGAGCATCATGGCTGCTGTCATTAAAAGGAAGGTTAGCAAGCTCTGGGAGTGTTAGTGATATACCTAGCACCAACCTGAGAGTCATAAAATTAAAACAATTGAAAACAAATGAGCAAGGGTGTAATGCTAGCAGGCTGTTGCCTGCTCTGTCCACAGTTCTCCTACGGGAGTGCGTGTGTCTCCCACTTTGTCTGTGAGCAGATGTTCCATACTGGCCAATCTGCACCTTGAGGCTTCCTCCTCCTCCCCTCTTCCTCAAGCCTGCAGGAGAGATGGAAAGAGGTGGGTGAAAAAGCAAGAAAGATTTCTCTTAAAGTAATTATGGTAACTGTGTATGTAACACCAGTGGGAGACTCTGGGAATTATTCTTAAATGACTGGAAAGAATTTCCTCTTTTGATCTCACTTGTGAGCCAGAGAAAATCAAATTAAGGAAGAAAAAGCAGGAGAGGGCTCTCGGTGGGGAGGAAGGAATAGGGTAGAGCTGTTGGGGGGGACGCGAAAGGGAAACTCCCTGGATGCCTGGCTTTCTAGATGCCGCTAGCCTTAGGAGGAAGATACTGGCGAGGCCAAGTCTCGCCTCTTTCCTTGAAGGCTTCACTCCTTCCCCACAAGGGACCTTGACAGTGGTCCCCTTCAAGATATCAAGGACGAATTCCTGCACCTTTCACATAGCTGGCCAGGCTTCCTCAACAAGGACCCCACTTCCAGATGAGCCCTGAGAATTCTCCCCAGAGCTCCACCTACAGTCACAACAGGATTGGCAAGCGTAGGCGTGAGAGGCATGTGTGTGCGCGTGCGTGTGTGTGTGTGTGTGTGTGTGTTAATCCTCCCTTTGAGGCCCTGGGAGAAATGGTCCTGTCACTTCTCTAAATTTTCTCCTGTGGTTGCTAAGCAGCACGCCTCTATCCATTTCTACTTCCCTCTTCTCCTGCTGTGTTTGTCTCCCTCCGCCCTCCACCCACACATGCTCACAGCAGTCTTCCCAGATGCAGTGTGCAAATCAGGGAGCAGCCCCTGAGGGGCTTCCAGCTCCCAGGGCCACAGAGATGCAGTGGTGGGTGTTCTGACAGAGATGCCTGCCGTCCTGCTCTGTGGGGCGTGCACAAAATGCAAGGAAAGAAAGACCGTTGCGGAAGCCATTCTGGATTCCCCAACAGAGCTGAGCGCCTCCTTCCTTCCCTCCTTCCTTGTTTTACTCCTTCCCATCATTCCTTCCCTCTTTCCTTCTTTCTTCCCTTCTTCCTTCTCTGCTGTGCTACACACATTTGCCTAGAAACTAGAGGAGGAGTCTCAGACGCATGCCAGTACCAGGCTGGTAATACGACGTGAGAAGGAGGCCAGTTGTGAGACAATTGGGAATGTTGGAATCTGCTCCCTAAGGAGCACCTGCTTTGCATGAGCCCTCACCCACCAGCTGCTGCTGTACAGGAACAGGGTGTGGTGGTAAAACCTCATTGCGCATCAAGTAGGAACCCGTTTCGAGGCCCCCAGTCTGTGCAGGGCAGCCAAGCAAGATCTGTAAGGCAGGCCTGTGGCGTTCCCGTTCAGCTATTTGATATATAGTATTGGTAGCAGAGTGGAGGATGGGCAGAAGGAGAAAAGTAACTGGGCAGCACGCTGTAATTGCCGAGAGCTTCTCAGAGAAGCCAGAAGGCTCTGTGGTAGCCCTGGACCCTAGTTTCTGAAGGACCCTCTTTGGGGTGAGTAGGATAGAGGCCCACCGGGATTGTCAACAGAGAATGTCAACAGAGAATGGACTGTCACTTTTCCCTTAGTCCTCAGAGACACTTACCTCTCCCACCCTGCCCTTCCCTAGGCCAGAAAGACCACAGGTTCATAAGAGTCAGTCACTCGACGGATGCGACCACAGAGATCCCCGAGGACCACAGGTAGGACTACAATGGAGTGTCACAGTGGGGGACTGCAGGTCAGTGGGAAGTGCTATACCAAGGCCTGCGCTCTGATCTGCGTCAGTGCTGTCTGGGGTCCCCATACCTGAGCTCTCCCCCTGGCTGGGGCCATTGGGACCTCAGCCCACTGGTCCCCAGGGATCTCTCTGTGCCTTCAAAATTAGCTGCAGAGATGTTGGATGGTGTGGAACTTCGGGTTCCTGAAATAAACCATGCAAGTCCCAGAGGGACTGAAGGAACAGCGGAGTGCTGGCAGCTCTGGGCTGGAGCTGACATTGAGAGGAGGAAGCTTCTGACCCCCAAGTCCAGGGGCTGCGCTTCCCGTGTTCTGTGCAGCTCCCGGACTGGCTTCCACAGTGCCGCCAGAGTTACTGTCCACTCTGCCAAGGTTCAGCACAGACCCCACTCCTTCTGCCCACCAGGCTTTCGGGCCTGGCTCTCCCCCGGGGCTCAGTGGGCTGCCAGTGGCAGGGACTGCTCGCTTGTGCCTGGATGGCAGTGCCAAGAGCCTGGGTCAGGGCATCCAACCTTCCATTTCTAAGAGCTGCAGGAGTCCACATGCAGCGTGGGGAAGGTTCCTTACCCGTGCACACCCTCCTCACTGGCCCCTGGGCCTGGGCCTGCCCTGTGGACCTCCAGCAGCTGATGGAGAACAGCTGGGAGTATAAAATCCATCCATAAGGAATGACAGAACTTATTTATACGTTTCTTTGTTTTTAAGGGTAGCGAAGGGGGAATCTCTTTAAAAGCCTTTTGTTCCCTTTGCTTTTCTAACTCACGAGGAAGGGAGGTACGAAGTTCAGGCGGTAAAAGTCAGTTCCATTCCACAAGCATTGACTGAGAGCCAGGGATGGTTCATGAAAGGACTAGGATCCAGCACAACCCGATCTCCTATCGAGCTGTGGCAGAGAGGCCTATGGCAGGGAGGCAAGTGGGGCTTCGGCAAGACCCTCAGGAGCAGCAGGTACCTTTCAAGGGTTGTGGCATTCAGTCATCGCCAGTTCAGAGGCGTGAGTGAAGTTGTTCCCATTGAGTGAATGGGGAGAAACTCAGAGAGGTTAAGTCATTTGCGAGGGGCCATGTTGCTCCTCGGTCCAGAGTGGGCATTGGAGACAGCTGTGTGGCTGCATAGCTCAAGAGATTGCTGCAGACAGGGGGAAAGGATGATCCAGAGATGATCCCGGAGATAGCTGAATTCAATTCACTGACTGTGGGGAACGGAAAAGGAACCAGCTATCCTCCGTCCAGCCTGTGCTCACCCCCGGAGCCAAGCTCCCACCTCACTGTATGAAATTTCTGTGAAAACTTTTCACAATTTTTTTGAGGGGGTTGGTACTGGAGATTGCACCCAGGGCCTTTGCACAGAACTATATCCCCCAACCCTTTTTGTTTTGTTTGTTTTTTTGAGACAAGATCTCACTATGTAGTTGAAACTGACCTGGAACTCACTTTGTAGCACAGGCTGGTCTTGAACTCACAGCGATCCTCCTGCCTCACCTTTCCGAGTGCTGGGATTACAGGCGTGTGCCACCATGCCTGGCTCCCATTTTTTATTTTTTGTTCTGAGATAGGGTCCCTTAAGCTACTAAGTTGCACGGGCTGGGTTTGAACTTGGGGTCCTCCTTTCTCATCTTCCCAGGTGCTGGGATTACACTTTCATGGAGAATTTCAAGCAAACAAACAGGTATATGGAATAATACCAGGAATACTGTACCTAGGTTTCAACATCAAGCTGAAGAAGTAATTGTTCCTCTGCCCTGAGTCTCCTCCTACACTAACCATCCCCTCCTGGGCTCATAACTGCCATCCTGAATGTGTGTTTTATTATTCACATGCCAGTCTTTATGCCTTCACTGCATCTGTGTCTGTTCCTAAACAATAGTGTTGTTTGAATATGTTCGTGTTTTTACATAAATACCGTTATGTATATCCATATGCATCTTGCTGTTTAAAGAACAGCTCTATTGAGATACAATTCACATGCCATACAAATAACCAATTTAAAACATAATATTTAGTGTCTTTTATATACTCCAGAGTTGTGCATCCACTAGAACATCTATTAGAACATTTTTGTCTCCCCTTCAAAAAAAAAAAGAAAAGAAAAGAAAAACATTGCCCCTGGGCCTGGGCCTGGGCCTGCCCCTGTGGGTCTCCAGCAGCTGATGGAGAACAGCTGGGAGTCTAAAAACCATCCTCTTTAACCATCATCCACCCATCATTCCATCGCTATATTCCAGATATCTCACATATGGAAGTCCATTTATAGATAGAATCTTTGACCTTTTGTATCTGACTTCTTTCGCTCGGCATGTTTTCAGCCTTCATTCCCATGGTAGAAGGAGTCATTCTTCATTATTGACAAATCATATTCTGTTATATGGATACACTGTATTTTTATTCATTCATCAGTTGATAGACATTTAGGTGGTCCCACTTTGGGGTGGTTATGAAATGTGCCTCTGTGAACATCCCCACACATGTTTTTGTATGCACATATGTCCTTGTGTTTCTTCTATATACCTAGTCATGGAATTGCTGAGTCCTACAGTATCTCTATGTATGTGTGGGTTTTTGAGAAACTGCTCAGCTGTTTTCAAAAGTGACTACATTCCCTGTGGGTGGCTGTGATGAGAGAATCGCAAGTTTGAACCCAGCCTGGGCAATCTAGTAACGTAATGAGATCCCATTCCAAGTCCTTTACATCCTGGCCAATCCTTGTGTCTGTCGTTTTAATTGTAGCCATCATAGTAGTGTTGAAGTGATAGCTCATTGTGGTTTTGACTTACATTTCCATGATAACTAATGACGGTGAGCATCTTTTCATGTACTTCTTGGGCATTTTGTTTATATTCTTTGGAGAAATGTCTACTTAGATCTCTTGCCTATTTTTAATTTGATTACTTATCTTTTTGTACTGAGTTGTAATTCTTCTTTACATATTCTAGATACACATCTCTTGTCAGATATATGATTTATGAAATTTTTCTCTCATTCTGGGGGTTGTTTTCACTTCCTTGATATCTTTGAAGAACAAATGTTTTTCATTTTGAGGTCCAGTTTGCCTTTTTTTTCCTTTTGTTGCTTGTGCTGTTTGTATTATATCTGAAAAATCCATTGTATAATTCAAGATCATACAGTATATGTCTGTTTTCTTCTAAGAATTTTACAATTTTAGCTCTTACCATTGAGTATCTGGTCCATTTTTAATTCATTTTTGTTTATGATGTGTGGCTGTCCATTTGTCCCACCAGCATATATTATATGTTAAATTCAATTGTCTTGGCTCCCTTGTAGAAAAGCTTTGATCAGAAGTGTGAGGGCTTGTTTCTGGGCTGTCAGTGATGTATATAATGACATTTACCTCCTATCCTGCAACTCTGCTGAACTGGTATAATGGTTCTAATGGCTTTTTGGTGGATTCCTTAGAATCTTCTGCATATAAGAGTAAGCCTTATGATAGAGCTATACTGACTTGATTACTGAGCTTTGTAGCAAGTTTTGAAATCAGGAAGTATGAATTCTTCAATTTTGTTGTCCTTTTGGAAGATTGTTGACAGTTCTGGGTCTATTAAATTTCCATATTTAGAAATCATTTTGTTGAGCTGGGCATGGTGGCACACACCTGTAATCCCACCACTCAGGAGGCTGAGGCAGGAGGATCACCGTGAGTTCAAGACCAGCCTGGGCTACACAGTGAGTTCCAGAGCAGTCTCAACTACATAGTGAGATCCTGTCTCAAAAAACCAAAAAAAAAATCATTTTCTTAAATTCTGTAAAAACGTTAGTTGATGTTTTGATAGGGATGGCATGGAATCTACAGCTCACTTTGCGAGTGCTACCCTCCTATTAATATTAATCTTCTAATCTATGAACATAGGATACCTTTTCATTTATTTAGATCTTAAGGTTGTTTCAGTAGTGTTTTATAGTTTTTTCAGTGTAGAAGTCTTATACTTCTTTGGTCAAATTTTTGTTAAGTATTTTATTCTTTTCCATCTATTGTAAATTAAATTGTTTTCTCCATTTAATGCTCAATTTTCTCCTATCAATATACAGAAGAATATAACTGGTTTTAGACATTTACCTTATTTCATCAGGCTTGCTGAACTTGTGTAGTAGTTCTAATAGCTTTCTAGTGGATTCCTTAGAATCTTTTGTATACAAGTTTAAACCAACTGAAAATAAGACAGCTTTACTTCTTTTTTTCCAATACAACTGGATTTTGTTTCTTTTTCTTGCCTATTTTCCAAACTAGAATTTTCTAGTGCAATGTTGCATAGAAGAGACAAGAGTAGGCATCTTTTTCTTGTTCCTGATCTTAGAGGGAGAAAATATTTAGTCTTCTACCATCAAATGTGTTAAAAGCTCTCTGTTTTTTATGAATACCCTTTATCTAGTTGAGGAAATACCCATCTATTCCTAGTACACTGAGTATTTTTTGGTACCATGCGATTTTTCTTTTCGCTGTCAACATTGTGAGATTTATCCACGTGTCACTGTAGTTTGTTATGTCTACGTTTACTGAATATTTTGTAGAAAGATAGAGAAGGTTAAGTCACATAACATCCCTCTTTGCCAATACAACTGTGCTACTCCCCCAGCCCCACTAGAAAACTCTCTCCTCTCATCTACCTTTTTAGCCAGAATTTTCTACTAAACAGAAGCCCTCTTCCTTTTCATCCATCCAGAGACAAATCCTGTTTAGCAATGCCAGAGTTCCAGAGAAGAATCCCTTCCCCCTGCTTGTAGGTGAGCAGGTAGAACTGGAGATCCTCCTGAAAGCAGGTACACTTGCGCCTTGACTGGAAGAATAGGTAGGGTGCTGAAGGGAAGGAAGGAAATACCTTGATCAAAGGCACCTCATGTTGTGCCCTGCCCTTAAATGAAACTGCATTTAGGACCTAATAATATCCGGGTACACTGGCCTTGATTGTTAGCGAAAGGAGCTTCTACTTGTGCAATGCTTGCACTCACTG